GGCTTACCTGTACAGAGTGCTGCAACATCAGAGCAAACTTTTCATATACACTGACCTCAACCATTCGGTTGAGGTCATTGGGAAGAAGCAGCGCAGTGGAGAGAGCGACGCCGACTTCAATGTCAGTCGCACTGTCGCCGACTCTAATTGGCTTGTTCTTAATTGTGATTGAAAGGGTCCAAGGGGCATCAGATTTCAGGGACCCCGAGGTTGTAGCAGACGCCGACCTCGGCTTGTTGAATTATACTTGCATAAAATAGAGTTGAACTAAGTTGGCGATATTTCTGATTGAAGCATGACGAATAACTTAGACTTATTATATGGCAGAGTTGAATTTTACTTGCATATAATAGAGTTGAACTAAGTTGGCGATATTTCTGATTGAAGCATGACGAATAACTTAGACTTATTATATGGCAGAGTTGAATTTTACTTGCATATAATAGAGTTGAACTAAGTTGGCGATATTTCTGATTGAAGCATGACGAATAACTTAGACTTATTATATGGCAGAGTTGAATTTTACTTGCATATAATAGAGTTGAACTAAGTTGGCGATATTTCTGATTGAAGCATGACGAATAACTTAGACTTATTATATGGCAGAGTTGAATTTTACTTGCATATAATAGAGTTGAACTAAGTTGGCGATATTTCTGATTGAAGCATGACGAATAACTTAGACTTATTATATGGCAGAGTTGAATTTTACTTGCATATAATAGAGTTGAACTAAGTTGGCGATATTTCTGATTGAAGCATGACGAATAACTTAGACTTATTATATGGCAGAGTTGAATTTTACTTGCATATAATAGAGTTGAACTAAGTTGGCGATATTTCTGATTGAAGCATGACGAATAACTTAGACTTATTATATGGCAGAGTTGAATTTTACTTGCATATAATAGAGTTGAACTAAGTTGGCGATATTTCTGATTGAAGCATGACGAATAACTTAGACTTATTATATGGCAGAGTTGAATTTTACTTGCATATAATAGAGTTGAACTAAGTTGGCGATATTTCTGATTGAAGCATGACGAATAACTTAGACTTATTATATGGCAGAGTTGAATTATACTTGCATATAATAGAGTTGAACTAAGTTGGCGATATTTCTGATTGAAACATGACGAATAACTTAGACTTATTATATGGCAGAGTTGAATTATACTTGCATATAATAGAGTTGAACTAAGTTGGCAATGTTTCTGATTGAAACATGATAAATAACTTAGACTTATTATATGGTAGAGTTGAATTATACTTGCATATAATCAAGTTGAACTAAGTTGAATTAACCTAGATTTGTTGTGTCGACAGAATGAAAACCTTGAATGACACTAAGTACATATTAGTTAGATTAACAGAGACCGAGGTTGATAACCTCGGCCAGTCTCTGTTTGAATCTGATCTCGGTGACAAGATCATAGGTATATGCTTAATGTGAACATAAGTTTCACATTAGGGGGCAGAGAGTTGGAGAATAATGCTTGGGAGTTGGAATTTACAAGCTAGAGTTGGTTTAACACTTGTTGAAATGCTTTAAGGAAAATTTACAAGTTAAGCCAAGGTTATGTTGAAAGAAGTATCTACGTACTTGACGAGATCACCATGTTGCCAAGACTTAGAAGATAATTGAAGACAGAAGGCTTGATAAGAAAAAGTAAAGTAGCAAGTTTTAAATAACACCTGTGAAAGTATTTTTTACAATGTTTTCAAGTGTTAAGCCAAGGCAGAGGTGAACAAGATTGGAAGTTATGTCCGAGGTATGTTAATCCGAGGAGACTATACAGCTAAAGGCATAAACTGAAGACATGCAAAATATTCTAAGTATGGAAGCAGTAGAGCTTACAAGCATACAAAAACACTCGAAAGGAGAAATTATAGAATGCATTCAGATAAGGAAGTTCAAGTATAAAAAGGCACTTCATCCTGACATTGAAGATTACTTGTTCGTAGTACAAAAAGGCACATTGGCCAAATAAAAGCTACACATTGTTCAAAAGGAAAAAGCACAAAGTATAAAGAAAAAGATTATAGCAAGCCTACTCGACATCAGTGGTGGGCTGCATCTCGACCCCAGAAGACAATTGGGGAATCTTCTCGTCAGCCTTCTCAGCCTCGAGCTCGGCGTCAATCTCTCGTAGAGTCGGATCAATGCTTTTCTCAGCGATTGACATCTCGAATGTTGTCTTCTATGGAGAGGCACCTTTTGAGACCTCGTCCTCCTCATCCTGAGTCAAGTCTAGGACTTGCTCATTCAGAGTTGGGGACTTGGCCCCAGCAGGATCTTCAGCAACAGCCACCTGGGCCTCCTTATCTTCGGCTTCCTCTCCTTTTTCCTCTTCTTTTTCTTCTTCTCCAGCCTTAGCCTTAGACTGGCTTGAAGCAGGTGGGAATGGCAGCACAAGTCGGCCTACGTCCCTCAAAGGAGAGTCATCGGGGACAGCCAACTCCTTTAGAGTGGCTATCCAACCAAGGGTGAAACCCTTGTTGCATGCCTTTCTGACTTGTTTTTTGTAGTCCTCCCGGACGTCAGTTGCCCCCTCGACGTAGGCCTTCTCGTCCGCCACTTTGATCTCGACGGCTTTGGTGGCCAAGGCATCTCGGAGTTCGGCTTGGCCTTCGATCATTTTGGCCTCGACATCTTTCTTCTCGGCCTTGAGGACCTTAGCGACGGCCTCAGCAGCCCCCGTCCTTTCATCGGCCTTGTCTTGGGCCTGTTTGGCTGCCTTAGCCTGATCTATCAATGTCTTCATCTTGGCCTTGGCTTTATTGATGGTCTTGAGCAAACCAGCAGCCTCCTTGGTCTTGCGGGTCAACTCATTCTTAATGTCGAAAGCCTGCATTACATAGAAGTAGGCGTGCTGGACAAGTGTTAGAGACTTACTTGTACGGAGTGCTACAACATCAGAGCGAAATTTTCATATTCGCTGACCTCGACGTTGCGTTCAAGGTCTTTGGAAAGGAGAAAGGCAGTAAAGAGGGCAGTGTCGACTTCAATGTCAGTTGCGCTGTCACTAACTCTGACTGGTTTGTTCTTAATTGTGATTGGAGGGGCCCGTGCAGCATCAGATTTCAGGGACCCCGAGGTTGTAGCAGACTCCGACCTCGGCTTCTTTGACCTGGTGGATTCGGAGGGCTCGGCCTCAGCGGGCCTCTTTTCGGTGGCAAAAGAATTTTTTCTGCCTCAGCCATTTTTGTGATTGGCAAGGTGTCCTCAGAGTCGATCTGAGTCACCGTTGCCTTGGCTTGGGCTTTCTTCGGCCTCTTTGGCTTTGGTTTGGGTTGAGATTGGGAAAGAGAAGATTGAACTGTGACGATATTGGGGATATCGGCAAGAAAGTCTTCAGCAACGGCCTTTTTTCGCCCCATTTCGTCAGTAGAGACAGCAACAATAACTTTAGTGCCAAGGCAGATTACTGGAAGTGCAGTTGGTGGGTTGGCTAGATCATAAGTCGATGCCTCAGAACTTCGGCGTCTTCGGCTACGAGTTCTGCCTGCGGGGGAAAAAGGTGAAGCTCGACATCAGCGTTGGCGCTGAGAGAGGGTAGAATCAGTTGTGGAACTGAAGTAGATGGCTGCTCTGCTGGGTCAGATGTGGAGGCTTGATCTGGCTGAGGTAATGAAGTTGTAGGAGGAGTTATAACGGAAGGAGGGGACTTGCTCTTCTTCGGGACGTCGGGCAAAATGGACTTATAGGTTGGGATATAGTTGAGCAGCAGAAGGGCTTTCTGCTGGTCAACTAGCAAACCGATCAACTTCTTGAAATCCTTGCTGGGGTAGAAGGATTTGTGGAAGTCCTTGGGTGGTTGAGGAAGAACTGCAAAATAAAACAAACAGACGTTAGAGCATACAAAAATGTCAAAGTAAAAAAGACTTAAAAGCAAGTAAATGTGACATTTGGCTCTTACCATCTCCCTCTTTGAAAACAGTTTGGCTTAGGGGATAGAGGTGAAGGTCATCATCTGGCGGGAACTCCCAGTTGCTTGAGACGACGAAATAATCGTCTCCGGCACCCTTGTTGGAATCAGGGAGGTCAGCGATGAGTTTGTATTCCGTCGACCTCGGCTTAAGGTAATAAATGTATCCATTTTCTGACTTAAGGCCACACATGGTGTAGCAGTACTAGATGTTGGCTAGAGTTACCCTAGCATTTTCTCGGCTAGCTAAGGCAATAATACTGTTGATGACTCTATAAGAGTTAATGGCTAATTGCATTGGGTTGAGTTTATAGTAGTGAATGACTTCTCGGAAAAGGATGTCAAGAGGGAACCTAAGTCCACACTGTATGAAGGCTACTATTGGGAATGGCATGGAGTCGTCTTGGGCATAATGGAGTCCTCCTCCCCAGCTAACCTGAGGTGAACGTCGACAGGGATGGCAAACTCCTGCCTAAAGTATGCTAGCTTAGTTAGGGTGTCTACCCTCTACCTGAACATACCCATAACGTCGGCTAAATGGGAAGGTGTTGGATTTCAGAAGGAAGTGGATTGTTAAGGTTCGAGGGACCTCGGCTTAAACTCAGAACAGAAGCAAGGGCAAGGACTTTTTAAGATCTATGGAAATTTGTTCCAATTTTCCTAGGGATAGTGGCTTCTATCAAAACCCAAGCCTAAAAACTATGTGAAAATAAGAAATTGGAGGCAAGAATCTGGCAAAATGCAACAAGAAAATAGAAACAAGAACACGATTCAGACTCAAGAAGACAGAACAAGAAATTCAAGAACATTTTAAATGATAGAAGTACAGATATACAAAGCCAAGTTCAGTGGTAGAATAACGAGTATGTGTTTGGTTTAGAACGCAGAAAGCAAAATCAAGAACAGTGACAAGTTATCAAGAACGTTAACATGTGTGTATATGCGTGTGTATACCAGCAACAGATTGTACAAAGATAGAATCGTGAAATAGATGACAAATAGTGGAATTCAATACACAAATGACTATTTAAGAGCATGAATAGATTTGCAATGGCAGTATACAAGCATAGCAAAGTTTAAAGTAAAACAAGGAATTGAAACAAAGGGGAATACTGACTTACCAAAGAAATGGAGGCCGGTGTAGAGAACGCCGGGGTAAGACGGTGGCAGCGAGCAGAAAAGAGCAAAAAAAGCTTCGCCGGAGGAGGTGAACGGAAGTGGTTGCAGAAAGCTTTGGGAAGATGACAATGGCGGTTTAGAGAGAGAAAAGCTTGAAGCATAGAGAGAAATCAGAAAATGTGAAGTGAAAAGACGAAGAGAGAGGGATTAGTGTGCTTAGGATGACGTGCTTGTCAGACGGCGTACGCAAGTACGATGCGAGTTAAAAGGCGCGTGATAGATACGATTCAATGGAGAAGAGACACGTGGCAAAAACGGTTGAATTACTGTGCGTGACAGCTTATACGCGAGTAGAAACTCTTGGAGTTCTTGATTTAATGAAGCGAAGACCTTGGCTAGGGGGACCATCTCGGCTAAAGAACTTGAAAAAACTTGGTTCTTGGTTCTAAAACATTGATGCAAACACACAAAAGTTTTTGTCATATGGAAGCCGATGTGTGATAACCTCAGTAATAAAGGGTAGAGCAAGCTTAGCCGATGTGCTATATGGTCAAATAATAGAGGTTCCATCACCTCAGGATGCCGAGGTAATAGAACCTAGGGGCAGTTGTGGGGACATATTTTTTGAATGACAACACGTGGCCAAGGTGGCACCGAAGTGCCAACCGAGGTGCCACGTGTCTTGGTCATGACGCCAAGATGGTCTCGGCTAGAACGAGGTTATCTACTGGAATGTCGGAGTCCGGGATAAACGGATAAGTTATAAGAGTCCTAGAATGGGCGAGGATCTCAGTCTGGATAATAATAAAACTCTTAGGGAGTTTATCTCTATCTATTTGAGAGTCCAGGATAAGTGTTGAGGCAGAGTCCATTGAAGCTAGGCTTCTACAGGGATCAGGTCAATGTTGGCTATAAAAGTAAGGCATCCTCGCTAGTCTAAGGTACGTTTTTTGTATTCTGGCTAGTGAGTTAAATACTAATTATTATCTTTGAGAGATAACTGAGTATTGACTTGATCGTCGGAGTGCTCCCAGGTGGAAGAACCACCGTCGGAGTCTTTTGTTTCTGTGACAGGTCATTCGGGCGCAATCTATTATGTAGGTGTTCTCCAGCTGAGTACCTGTTTGGCAGTGTGGTCAGAAAACAACACACACAAAATTGTAAAATTTTACAGTTTTATTTTTTTGGTGTTAAAATGAATCATGCTTTAAAATTGTAAAATTTTACAAGTTCATAACATGCTTTTGAACTGCAAAATTTTACAATTTCATAACATATTTTTCAGTTCAATTAATTAAAATAAATACTTAATAGAATCACACTTTAAAACTGTAACAGCTTTACAGTTTCAAAGCTTGCTTTTCAGTTTGATCAATATTGGAGATTATTTGCTTAACGCCTACAAAAATTGAAAAATAACATATATTTTTTCATTGTTGTTGTTATGTTTTTTTTTTTCCTTTCAATTTAACAATATTTAGCACATTTTGTTATGTTTTTTTTTCTTCTATTTTTTCATTTATTTTTTTTTTTGGATAATATTTTAGACATTCCGATAAGTCTTAAACAATATTTTTGACGTTCAGTGAACGTTCTTGATATTTCGATGACTTCCAATTATGTTTAAAACACTCCGGCGATACTTTGGCACATTTCAGTGATACTCCAATGACTTCCCGATAATATTAAATATTCCGACGAGCCTCTGGTGATCGTTTGACGGAAATCTGACGGTGATGGGATGTAGCAACGTCTTTAATTTTAAAAATAAAAAAAATGGTAATAATTAAAAATATGTAAGACTATAATTGGTGCAAGTATTTTGTTTTGTGACTAAATGGATTTTGAACTATATGGAACCTACTGGTAAGTTCTCCTTTTTTTAGTTATCCACTACAAGAAAATACATTTTTGCCGACCATTTTTGCCTACCAAAAACAATTTAGTTGCCAAAAGTTACGGAATTGGCTACCAAAAATAATATTAGTCGGCGAAAGTCAACTTTTTAGCTACTAATTTTTTTTAGTAGGGGAATGTTGATTATTGGCGACTAAAAAAAATTTAGTAGCTAAAAATATTACAATTGGCGACTAAAAATATTTTTAGTTGCTAAACATATCACAATTGGCGACTAAAAGAAATTTTAGTAGCCGTAGAGGTACCTTTAGCTACTAAATTGTTTGGTAGCCGAATGAAAATAAAAAATTTAATTTTTAATCTTTGGCGACCAAAATTTTGATCGCCAAAAATATATTGTCAGTGACAAAATTTCTTATAGTCATTGTAGACCCACTTTTGGCTACTAAATCGTTTGGTAGCCGAATGAAAATAAAAAAATAAATTTTTAATCTTTGGCGACCAAAATTTTGGTCGCCAAAAATATATTGTCAGCGACAAAATTCTTTTTAGTCGCTGTAGACCCACTTTTGGCTACTAAATCCTTTGGTAGCCGAATGAAAATAAAAAAATTAATTTTTAATCTTTGGCGACCAAAATTTTGATCGCCAAAAATATATTTTTAGCGACAAAGTTCCTTTTAATCGCTGTAGACCCCCTTTTGGCTACTAAATCGTTTGGTAGCCGAATGAAAATAAAAAAATTAATTTTTAATCTTTGGCGACCAAATCATATTTTAGTCGCCAAAGGCCTCATAAGCCCGTAGGGCATTTTGTTTAGTCGCCAAAGATGACCTATATATATATATATTTTGTACCGAACCAAACCCTAAAATAATCAGCACCTCTCCCCCCTCTCTCTCTCTCTCTATTTTCAGCGTTGCTCCTCTCCCCTCCCTCTCTCACTGCCGCTCTTCTTCGCCTTCGCCGGAAACCGGAGCCCCTCCTCCTCCTCCGCCATCGCCATCGTCATCGTGAGTACCGCCGCTCTTTTCACGCCGCCTCCTCCTCCACCGATCTTCATAGATCCACCGCCACCGCCACCGCCACGAGATCCAGAGGCTTCATTGCTGAGATGAACTCTGCTCCATTGATACTCCATCTCGCGTATGCTTCTCTCTCTCTCTCTCTCTCTCTCTCTCTACATATATATATATATATATATATCTATCTATATATATAGGAATTGGGTTAAAATTTTATATTAAACTTGTTTGGCTATAAAATTGAAACAACTTAAAATCTACAATTTTTATTTTCTTGATGAAATTGGTCTTTCTCTTTAAAACATAGAAGGAACCTAATCTAAAATTGGGATATTTAAAATCCGTTCTCATAAAAACCTAGTTGATTCTAAATGGAAAAATTAAATTTTCACAATTAAATGCACCCTAATAAATTGGAACTTTCAATTGGTTGATTCGAAATGGAATAATTC